AGTACTCCAGAGTGTTGTTCAGCATGGGGGTGAGTAGAAAATGAAGGCTAATCATGTTTTGGGTGTACTATTCCTTTAATGTGAGACTTGTGTTACATTATGGAACGTGGCCAAATTGGCAAATGCAGTATGGTTTCTTTTTTTTCTGTTATTCACTAAAGTTTGACTAAATTAAAATGTACCTGACTTGCCTCATCACTTTTAGTCGGAAGTTAAATCTACAACAACAGCAAAACTTTGATACCATCACTGAAGTATATAATCAATACCAAAAAGTATAAAGTGGTAGCTCAAGATAAAAATTGCGAGCATGTAAGTAACCAGATCCAAGCATCCGTTTGTGAGAGTGCGCTTGTGTGTGTACGGTATACCCATGAGGAAAATGCTCAATAGGGGTTGTGAAGAGCCAAAGATCTGCCCTCCCCAGAGCACTGAGGCAGGTGCCAGGGACCCAAAACTCAATATGCCCAAAGAGACCCCCAAAGTAAAGGTAAAGGCTATTCTTGCTTCCCCCTCCTCTGTTGAGCCCACTTTCTCTGCCCTGAAGCACATCAAGACACATGCCAGGAACAGTACTAGACAGGTTCATCTGGGTGCTTTGGCACTGATGTCCTTAGAGACAGAACTTTTAATGGAACCCAAGTCAAAGGGCAAAATTTATGACGCCCCAATCGCTCACTTCCCAAAGAAAGACCAAAAGAAAGAAAAAAGAAAGAAAGAAAGGCCATTTTTTATTCACACTGGATTTATATCATGGCCCAGGGAAAGTTTTGGGTTATTCATCTTTATTATTGAGGTTGTTTGTACAAAGTCTAGCGCTAACTGTCTGTTGCCAAATGTGCCAGTTAATCCCTTCATGGTTCGGATTCTTTCTGAAAAGTGTTAATTGTCGCTCTGAAAGTGTATAGAATTTAGGAGGTGTGGTGGATACTTTTAAACTTCAATTGCAGTTTCAAATTGTTGTGTGTGTTATGCGTCATGGTTTCATAGCGCTGTCCATGGTGATGACTATAGATGTCCTGTCAACAGCATCAGCTGTTCCTGAATGGCCTCATTATATTGCAGAGTTTACTTTTGGAAAGCACATATATTAGATAATCTATGAAACCTAAATTATATTCAGCTTTTGGTGGTAATGTTAGAAGGTGTCTTCTTGCTCGGGGTTTTACAATGTTTTTTTGTTATTGTTTTCTTTTGTTTTATTTGTTTTTTTTGGCACTGATGAAGGACAAGTTTGCCACTGAACTTGAGAGGTACTCTCTCCTAAATTAAAGAACCAACAATATGTTCTTCTGCTTAAGTTACTAAGTGTCATGTCTTGGTTGTGGTTTAGAGGACCCAAATGCAAAGGCAGAGAGGCTGAGGTGAATTCTTGTAAATTTAATCAAAGGGAACTGGAAAAGGCAGGAATCCAAAAAAAAACAACTAATTATGTAAAACAAACCAGAACTATGGAGACATCTAGGGAAACCAAACACGAGGAGCCAGGGAGAGACGAGGTAGGCAGACAACAGCATGGGGGGACAGCAATGACAAGGAACCAACAAAGAGTGAAAGCAGAGGGAGAGCATATGTAGCTGACTGAGACAAAAGCAGGGCTAACGAGCTGAGCAGGTGTGAGAGGACACAACGAGAGAGCCAAGGGGAAAGGAACACACACACACACACCTCTAAACATGCATGCGCGACACAGTATCACAACAACAATGGCGCCGTACTGTGTTGAACGGTTGCTGCTCATGCTACTCTACTCACCCTGCTGTCGGGCTTACAACAGAATCTTCTTCTTCTGGAATATCTCCAGGAAGAACAGAGCAATATCGACGACATAGTTCAGCACCTGAATTTGACTGAACCATGAAAATGGACCCGCAGGGCCATTTTCCGGTTTTCCGGTTTGGTTGTTGTATAAATATTACTGCGCATGCCCAACATTTCGTTGCCTGTTTTCGCCTATGTTTGCTTTGGCACCACAGCACCACTTACAGGCCTGGCATACATTTTGCAGCGTTTTCATGCATTCGTGTGGTCGATCACATTTATTTTACGTCTCCGTCTTTACGACAAACCTTCTGGAAAATATTAGCGTTTCATGTTCGTTTTGACTTCGTGTGGACGGGGCCTAAGTCTGTTACTTAACCACAACACCAGCTGTGCGGTCCTCCTAAGTACCCTATGTGTCAAAGTGATGCACACTAACCCTAAGAATACTGTAATTGCTGATCCATGGGTGTTGGAACTGCTTTTCCTAAAAGTTCTTAGGAAAATCTCTCTTTCTTCTTATTTCTGTCTTCGGTATTCTAAATCTTCTTTCTTCTCCAGTCTCATCTTTTCTAAACTAGCTCCACTGGTCAGAGATTATTGTCTCTTATGGTTGAATTAATCTGGGGGGACCAGGGGTTGATGTTTCTTCCCCCTGCCTTAATTTATCTTCACCTTGTGGCTGCTTCCTAGGATTACATTCCATAGATAATTCATGTATGTAATGTCATATAGTCCTGGCTCCAAAAAACCATTACCCTTTGGTCAATTCTTAATACACAATCACCATGGGGTCATTCTTAATTTGTTATATGTTACATAATGTTAGAACAGGATCATTTTACAATTTCTTTATCCTTATTTCCTTGGGGAAGAGCTCTGTAGTCATTCTCACTTCCTCATTCTGAATATCTTATTCTAGGTAAGTGATCAATAGATGGCATTACAAGTTATACGTAACGTTCATTGCACAGTCCTACTACAAATTGTATTTCTTATACAGCACATGATGGCTGACTCTCAGTTCTGTAAAATAGGCTGTAATATTATCCCTTTTAAATTACAACATATATTCCCCAAAGATAAAACTCAGAAAAATTTTATTATGAGGTTATAGCATAATGACGTTCACCACAAGATCACATGGCATTGATTTTACCCATCTAAAACACAGCATAACTGCCTCACATATGATGTTCTTACAGTGCCATCTCCTGGAGACAAATGCACACTGCAGAGTGGACTGTGGACTCAGAGCTTAACTGTATTTGATAAAATAGATGTTGGTGACTGAGAACTAGAAGAAGATTTCTGTATTATAATCAGACCTGGAAGACATCTTACTGTGTTGTGGATACTTCTTGACAACTTAAAAATTGAGACTAAGTTTTATAAAAATTCAATGTTCTCAAAAGTCAGAAAATGTCTTTGACCAAAAAGGTAAAAATCAGGCAGAGGTCACGGATTTCCAAGTCCAGAGTGTTTTATTGCAAAACACAGCATACACACTGAGCTGCTCTCCGGAGAAACAACTGATGATACAATGAAACAGCTTCCCTTTTATACATTTCAAGCTGTGGGGCTCCTCCCCCAAGCTCCTCCTTTCTTTTTCATCATTTCACATACATT